GATCCTTGGCCCATTTGTTGATTGGGTTATTTGTTATCTTATTGTCTAATTTTTTGAGTTCTTTGTATACTCTGGATATTAGGGCTCTATCTGAAGTGACACCTGCCCTTTTCTCTCTTTCTTTCTGTTTGCCACAAGGTGAGAAGCTTTGCTCCACCACATGTTCTCCACCATGATGTTCTGCCTCATCAAAAACAAAACAAAACAACAAAACAAAACAAACAAACAAACAAACAAACAAAAAACAGTGCCAAATGACCATGGACTGAAACTTCTAAAATTGTGAGCCTTCCTCATTTATTTATCTTAGGTGTTTTGTCATAGTGAGGAAAAGCTAATACAGAGGGCCAAACAGTGATAATTTGGATTTGTAACAGATACTTTTGAGGCATTTCCAGAGAGCACACAAGACCATTTAACATATCACATTTTCAGGGGTTTTGCAAAGCATAATCTTACATAATTTGGGAGACCTCTTTAATAAAACAAATACAAAATCATGTATACAATTTACCAAAGCATCTCTGAGGACAGGTTAATGAAGTTTATGGAAGGGGATATTGCTCATATACCTTAATAGTAGAGGGCTTTCCCAGCATGCTCAAGGCCCTGAGAGGCATGGTGTCCCACACCTGTAATCCCAGACACTTGGGAAGCTGAGGCAGGAGGATTGTGGGAATTTGAGGCCAGCCTTAGCATCCACGTCTCAAAAAAAAAAAAAAAAAAAGTGAATTTCAACTTTCCTTGGGTTCATGGTAATCCATCTTTCTTAGCTCCTTCTCTGAAACAGTTGCTTTTTCCCTACTGAGCAGTCATTGCCTATAAATTGATAACAATAATTGCTTTTCTCCAACATTATGGAGTCAGAGCCACTGTTTGCTTTCTTCAAATGCATCACATAGTAGATAGTGGGGACAAGGGCAAGTTGATGCCCTGTTGCACTCTCAAAGCATTTCAACACCACTATGCTCTTCTGGGCTACTGTCTGAGAATGGGAGTTCCACCTCATTCTGGAGGTCCCCATAGGTACAAACAGAAGAAAAAGATTTAGATGGAGACAACATAGCCAGACTGTTAGCTTCTGAGTGTTTCCTAAAAGCATGAAATCACTGAGGCTGAGGTAAAGGACTTCAAGCAAAGAATATGACTCATCCTGTTATGTTTTCTAATTAATAGGAAAAATAAATTCTCTGGTCTCAGAGAATTTAGAATTTAGAATTCCTCCACAGTCCTTTATTCTGATGGTTATTACTGAAAAGATTACTTAATAATACTATTGCTCTGTAAGATGAACATCCACAAGAAGCTGTTATTAAGGTACTATCCATGGATTTAGAAATTAATCTATCTGGCTATACAGTGTGTATGTGAACAAGATCATGTTGACCTGTTGACCTGATGAATGAAAAGTTACCTATGGTGATAATCTCCCCCACAACCAAAGTTACCACTGCTCTTCAAAAGATAAACAGAGTCTAGTAAGAGACCTTTCAAATGGATATAAGTACTCCACACTTGGATTTTCAAACTTCTTGCCTTTAATTTCATATTTTAAAGTTGAAAACTTTCAAGATAGAAGACTCTGAATTCTTTCTCTTTCTTTAAAATATATGACTTTTAACTGGGGATGTAGCTCAGTGATAGTGCAGCTACCTAGCATAATGCAAGACCATGGGTTCAATACACATACACACAGACATACACACTCCAAAGTGGATGCTCTGTGCCTTTGAAAAAAAAAGAGATGTGAATAATCAGATTTCTCCTTCTTTTCATTAGTCATCAAGTCCTATTTTTTCTTCAAAATGTCTTACACCATTTTTCTTTCTCCATTGGCTCCAGCTTTATCATCTCTCAGTCAGGAATGCAACTGATGGCCTTACTTGTCTCCTTGCCTCCAGTTTTCTTGCCTCTATTCTTTTTCCAAATCAATCCATTTGAAAGCAGTGCCTTCATTTTTGTTCAATTCAACCTTTCAGTAGCTCCTGGATGCCAGGACAAGAAACTCACTGAATGCAATCATCTTTTCCCTGTTAATCTTAGATCATTGCCTGACAAACAATTTTCACCACTCTTATTGGGGTCTGTTCATTCTCTTCCTGTAGAAACTTGGGCTTTTCTGTTTTTGAACATTTTCTAATATATTCTTGTCTCTCATTATTACTCCCACCTTTTCCCTGTGTATCCAAAGTCATCTTTTATTTTACTTATTTATTTTATTTTTTCATTTTGTGATATTGGAAATTGAACCCAGAGCCTTTTACATAATAGGGAAGGGCACTACCATTGGAGCTTCATCCCTAGGCCAAATTCATTCTTTATTACTTGGCTCTAATTCCATCACCTCTGTAAAACCTTTTTGTACCATCCAAATTTAAAGTGAACTCTTCTGTGTAACATTTTGTAGTATTTGTTATTTGTATTACTTGTTCAGCACTCAGAATCTCCTGCCATATTATGAGATCTGTTGCCCTCTTTCCTTCTCCCTTCACCTCTTACTAACTTATTTCTATGCATATACAATTGATCTCTCATAGTAGACATCATACATAATAATGGACCTACACTATTTGTTGAATGTTGAACCTGATTTTAGATCAAGGCTTACTGTCCTATAATGGTATCTTCTAAGGGTACAGAAAACTATAAGGACTTATTTGTTAACTCTTCTTTATATTTCATCATTTAAATAAGCGATTCTTGACTACACTATAAAATACAAGTAGGAGGCTAGGAAGCCAAAAGAGGGACAATTGTAGATTTTCCTCCTTGTACTTATGACACATTCTTTTGATTGAATATATTGCAAACCAACAAAGAGTATAAATGTTATCTAAAATGATCACTTTTATCCTTACAGAGTGTAATTAACAATGCATTTTGGTTGTTGTTAGCAGCTTTTTGTATATTGCATTTGTTACCTGCTACAGTGGCTGGAGTATTTCATGGGAACAGAACTTTTAGAAGACGTTAAACAAATGAGGTCAAGTGTAAGGTTTTGTCTTCTCCTTTTTCTTCTCTCAGTACAGAGGATTGAACCCAAGGTCTGGCACATGATAGGCAAAGTGCTCTGTCACTGAGCTACATCTTTGTCCCAATTGTGAGGTTGTTTAATAGAGATCTGGAGACAAGTAAATGTAGTGGTTACGAGAGTAAACCTTGGAAACAGACAGGCGTGGGTACAAATCCTGGAAGAAAATAACTCAGTGTCATTCAGCTGTACTTCTTCTCTAAAAATGGGGACAATAGCACCTCTACTTCATTGGTCTATGAGGATGAACAGAGACAATACTTGTGGATGGCTTAAGACAGGATGGGCGATAAACCTTGCAATAGACATCTAGCATGGAAAGACAAGGAATCAGAGAGAGAAATATATATCAACAAATATTTACTGAGTTCCCAAGTGCCATGAATAGGCTACTAACAACTGGATTAAAGTGATATTGAGAAAGAAACAAGAATTTTAGGATATGAATCTGGAGAGAATAAAGTCTAGGGTTATTGATGACATTGGCAAAATATTTGTGGTACATGGTAACAGAAGAAAGTGAAATGGCAGTTAATGGATACTTACCATGGTTCAGATAAGTGTTCCTCAAAAGGCCCATGTATTAGTGGCTTGGTTGGCAACCTATGGCCCTATATGAATGAAGGTAGTGGATCCTTCAGGAGGTAGGGCTTATCAAAAGGAAATAAGATCATTGGGGGTGTTCCTTTGAAGGGGATTTTAGAACCCTGGTTTCTTCCTTCTCTCAATCTCATGTTCTGACCATGAGGTATGCAACTTTGCTTAACTACTTGTTCCTTGCTGTGATGTACTGCCTCACGACAACCCCAAAGAAATGGGACCAACCCACCAGGGACTGAAATTTCTAAAACTGTAACCCAAAACAAACTTTCCTCTTTCCATGTTAATTGCCTCAGGTATTTTGTTACAGTGATAGAAAGCTAATATAATATTTCATGAATGCAATGGGTGAACACTCACTGAATTAAGAGTCTAAGACCTTAGAAGAAGCTTGGGAGAAATAAAGGATGAAAGGGATGTTATACCATTAAACACTGCTTCTAGTATACTGGGTCGTTTCAGGCAATGAGAAAAGATAAATCCATCACACCTCTGTTCAATTTTCTTTCATGCACAAGGACATGTGAATTTACATATGTGGTATTTTGGGGGTCAGGTGTCATAAAATAAAATGCAGTGATGATTTACATCAGTTTCCAACATTGTAGCACTCCCCAGGGTTGAATTTATCATTCTTAAGAATACAGACTATGTTTGCTGTAGTCTGTAGACATCAAAGTTAAATTGGGAACAGTCCATCACATTTTCAATTCTGTTTCCACAGGAAAAAGAAATTCTTTCTTCTACACACTGTGACAGGAGAGAAGTATGAATTTTCTGAACTATGTACAAAACCACAATTATTTCCATTTCAGGTTTATGAAAGATTTCCCTTAAACTGAAATAAGTAAAAGCTTGATACAAAAAGAACACTTCAAAGTCTAATTAATGGCCAAAGAACAGTTATAAAAATATTACTTATTTCCTAACTACCTATGACCAAATTGTCAAAATAGTGTTAGCACTTAGTTGACTGTTTGAGAGATTACTCTATTCATAGACAAATGCTGACACTTCCTCTTACATTTGAAACCTGAGACATGTTTCAAACAATGAAGTGTGTTGGTTTTAAATATGGGACAGGAAAAGAAACTATGAGCTTGTGAAACTAGTAGAAAAGATAGATTCACTGTAAATAAATAAAATGAACTCCAAAGGATAAATTAAAATTATAATATTTCTCATTCAGACAAGGATAGTATATTGTTTGTCTCTACAAACCTTAAATTGAGGCTAGGGAAGAGGGTACATACTTGTAAACTCAGCTACTTGGGAAACTGGGGAGAGAGGATCACAAGTTTGAGGCCAGCTTCTCAGGGCAACTTGCAAAACAATGTCTCAAAATAAAAATAAAAAAAATTAAAAAGGGTTGAGGCACTAGCTCAGTGGTAAAGTGCCACTGGGTTCAATCAGGGAAAAATCTTAAACTGAGTTTAAAAAGCAATTCAAACTTCCTGGGATTAATTTGCCAAGAAGTCCAATTTGTTCTTCTATTATTGACTGTAAATAAAAGCATATATGCAACCAGAATAATAATTTTTCTTAGCAGCATATGGTTCTTTTGAACACTTCAAAAACAACTGTGTTAGTATCTCTGAAGATGCTTCAGAATTTGTTACAAAGGGAAGTTATCTGAGAATTATCAAAGTCCACTTTTTTGGAAGATTTATAACTTTTGGCTTGGTTTTTGATTTGAAAAATTTACATATTCTCTAAAAAGATATTATAAGATTATAAAAACTGGTTTCATATAATTTCAAACAATAGCAACTTATATATTTCTTCACATCAATGAGCTTCATGAATAAAAATGATAAAGGATACTATTTTATACCTGCCTCTAACACAATGTCTCTAACACAATGACGAATATAGCTCCAGGTTATTCGTAAATAAAGAATAAAGGTTTCAGACTTTCCAGTTCTGCCCCTTTCAATTTTAGTTACCAAAAAAAAAAAATTATCCTTTGAAACACAGGACAAATAAAGTTAGCTTCCTTGACTAAGATTATATAGTGTGAGAGACTTTTATAAAAATTAAAAAAGGAATCATGATCTGTTAGTTTCATCTGGTTCTCTCGATGAATTTCAGTAGATGCAAGTTTAATATTTTAATTTAAAAACAGCATACAATCTGTGTACCTACTTTTATAAAAATTATTTCTGTGTACAAAGTTAACTGTGTTCAGTTAACTCTATCACTCCTCACATCTGTGTGTCTCCATGCGTGTCTCCATAGAGATATCAAGAAAGATATTCACCTAATGTTACTGATGGTTATTTCTACACAGGAGGATTCTGTTGATATTTTTCTTTGTGGTGTCTTTCTGTATTGCTCAAAAATTTTAAAATAGTGCATCATTAAATGTAGAGGTAATAAAGTCATCACTTTCAAATATAAAAAAGGAGAAAAATGCATTTGGTAGCCACAGCCCTTGCATTTATTTTTGCCAATGGAAAGCCTCAGAGGAATTAGATAATGCATCTCATGTGCCAATTCTTGAATAATTAAATAAAAATGTCTGTAACATACATGGGTGTACACATGAGTCAAATAAATGATAGATAAGGTCTATCATTCATTTCTTCAACAGGGAATTCAGCATTTGGGTGTCACATATGTTCCATTTTCATCCTACCAGTTGGAAACAAGTTCTGAATTGTGCTTATAAAAGCAGAATTCATGA